AAATACAAGGGAAAAGACTCTGAAGATTCATAGATGCTAACCTCTGAAAATAATCTGTAAAAGCTGGAATAAAAATTAAAGAAATCATTTGGCATCCTAAATACAAAAGCAAAAAGTTATGGCTGCTATAGAATAAGAACAGATAAGAAAAAGATACAATGGAGTTGGGAGAAATACAGAAAAAGACAAGAAAACACAAAAGTATATTCGAGATCCATATGATGGCAAAAACACTAATTATCAACTGTATACAGAGAAAACTTGTGAGGATCCCTGATAATTCAGGTAAAAAGGCAGTAAGACACACACACATAAACAAAATGACAACAGTTAAATATAAGGAAAGTTAACAGAAGAACGGTCCTTAAATATGGTATGCACATTTGTTTCCATTTGTTTCCAAATTCTCTTATTCCCTCTGCTTATAATAAACCAGTACGGTTGACAAAAAAATGTTCCTGTCCTAATTTTTGAAACCTGTAACTATATTAATTTACATGGTAAAAAGAACTTTGCAGATGTGATTAAGACTATGTACCCTGATGATGATGAAATTCTTCCATTTTATCCATATGAACTCAATCAAATCACTTCAGTCCTTAAAATCAGAGAAACTTGGCTGACTGAATCCAGAGAGAGAAAGGAGAGGGAGCAAAACATGACAATTGAAGAAGGATCACAGAAAATCAATGACGCTAACATGAACAGAGGAAGGGGCCACATCAAGAAATATATAAGACAGAGTCTAGAAACTGGGAAAGGCAAAGAAATGTATTGTCCCCTAGAGCTTCTAAAAAAGGAACACAGCTCTGCCAACATCTTGATTTGGCCCACTGAGACACATGCTGAATTTCTGACCTATAGAACTACAAAGCCATAACATTTTTATTGTTTAAGTCACGAAACTTGTGGTAATTTATTACAGATCTTTGTGCCAGAAATGGGTGTTGCTTTAACACACCTAAAACTGGAGAAATATATTTGGAACTGGGCAGTAGGCAGAGGCTTGAAGAATTTTGAAAGACATGACAGAAAAAGCCTAGACTGCCTTGAACAAACTTCACAGAAACACGGATGTTAACAACTCTTATTAGTAAGGCGTGTTTGAGAAAAAAAACCTAAATTTGTCTAAAAGAATACCTACCATGAACAGAATGTTAGTAGAAATATGGATGTTTGAGGTGCTGCTGTATTCCTCAGAAGGCAACAAGGAATACATTATACTGAAAATCAGAGGAAAAGGGATACGTGTTACTTAGTGGTAGAAAGGTTATTGGAACTGCATTCTGCAGTTATGTGGAAAGTAGAACTTGTAAATGAGGAAGCTGAAATATTTGGCTGATGAAATTTTCAAGCATAGTGTGGTATGGACTGGCTTCTTCTTGCTACTTACTATTATAATGCCTAAGAAGAAAGAGATAAATTGAAGGAAAATTGTTTAAAAAAGAAAACAGGAATTGAGAATTTGAGAAACTCTCAATCTATCCAAATTACAAAAGACACAAAAGCTACTATAGAGAAAAAGCTGAGTGTAGTTAAACAACCTTTTGCTACTCCCAGAAAGATCAAAAGGTCAGAGTTTTAGGTAGACAAGCTCTTTGAAGGCAATTTGGGTATGACTCACAGATCATCAAAATCAGACCAGAAAGCATGTAGATAGCCTGGCAGCAGGATACCCCAGCAGGCTCAACACAAGCCAAAAACAGAGAAGAAATTCTCGAGGAAAGAGCTGTAGAAAATCTTTGTCTAATAAGAGTGAATCCCTGTGATACATAAAGGTGACTCCGAAGGTTCTTGAGAATTCATATTAGAAGAAACACTATGAGCTTAGACTGAAACAAACAAAATATGAGAGAGGACAAGCTGTCTCACAAAATACTACAGGCAGAAAACAGGTGTATTGAATTACTCAACTGCAAACAGATGTTTTGTTTCATGAAAAAAAAAATATGGTGGAGACCAGCATCCTGAACTACAACAGACTAATTTCAGGACCTAAAAGCTAATGGAGGTTGTCCCATTAAATCTGAAAACTGCTTGGGATCAGTATGCCTTTTTATGTCTTGGCGTGGCCCTGTGGACAGCAAGGTCAGTTTGAACTGCAAAGCCAGCAGTTCAAGCTCAGCATTTGCTCTTTGGAAACCCTAAACAGGGTTGCTATGACTTGGAACCTACTTGACAGCACTTAACAACAACCCTTTTGAATCAGAATCTGCAATTTTAATCCTATGCCTGTCCCACCACTGTGTTTTTTTGTTTGTTTTTACCAAAATAAATACGTAAGATTTTCTTTAAAAACTTAAAAAACAAATAAATCAGAGCTTTTTAACTCTGAGATGGATAACCCAGTTGGTTAAAATATTTCAAATTCATGACATATTAAGATATTGTTTAGGGGATAAACAGTCTGAAGACGGTAACATTAGAAAAAGGCTTATTAATCATTACCTTAAATCAAATCAAGACCCAATATCTCCCCTCAAACATTAAGCACTGTTTCATGTCTCTAAATCAAGGGTGCAGAACCTTTTACTGCCAAAATTTATAACATCATCTGTGGGCCATACAAAATTACCAACCTAAAAATTAGTCTGCTATTTGGTCAAACATTTAATTAACTCCCAACAACAATCCTGGTGTGGCACTGTGATATAATGCACTGTACAGAAAGGTTGGTTTGAACTGAAAGGTCGGTGATTCAAACTCATCAGCCACTCCTCAGAAACCCTATACAGGGCTGCTATGATTTGGAACCAACTCAACGGCACTTAGAAACAGCAGCAACAACAACAACAACAACAACGTGATGGCTGCAACTGAAGTTGCTTTGGCACCACCGTAACTTAGACTCTGCTCCAGGTTGGACCAGAACTTATTTGGATAGGTTTTATATAGGACTTTAGAGCTGAAGATTTTAAACTTTAAGTCGATGCTGTAATAGGTTGGGACTTTCACAATAATCAAATATAATGTTATTTAATCACACAAAAATGAAAAAAGCTTTCCTGCTTATAGTAAGAGAGAGAAATAATTGTTCCAACTGAAGAAGAATCACAGAGTCGACATTGCTGACTTGAAGGTAGATGAAGGAGTTCCCAGCCAAGGAATGCATGCAGGCTCCACAAGCTGAGAAAGGAAACAGATCCTTCTGTGTGATCCTTATTTAGTGTTGTTGTAATATAAACACAAATGGGTGGCTTTAAAGAGCAGAGATTTATAGTACAGTGAGCTATACACCAAATTCAAGATGTGACAATAAGGGGAGTCCTTTTTTGTCTATTTCAGCTTCCAGCAGCCAATCCTTAGAGTTCCTAGACCTGTGGATTCTCCCTGTATCTGGGCATGCATCTTTATCTAATCTGCTTTATTTAATAACTCAAAAGTGTTTTGGTTTTGGTCACAACCTACACTACAATGGCCTTATTAACACAACACAGAAAGCGTGATTTTCAAACAGGATTATATCCAATGGAATGAGAGAGTCAGAATTCTAACACATATTTTTTGAGAGGGACACAATTCAACCCACAACACCCCTGGAAACTCTAGAAAGAAATGTAGCCTTGATGACACTTTGATTTTAGCTCAGTGACACCCATTTTGGACTTCTGAACTGCAGTACTATAAGATAATAATTTGTGTTGCATAAATGGTAATTTTGTTACAGCAGCAATGATAAACTAACACAATCACCCTTTCTGTCTAGAAAATCTTTTTTGTAACTTTACAATCCAGCTTTAAAATCACCTCTGCTGTGATGGATTCAGAAAGTGATTATTACTTTTTCATTTTTCTAAATCACTCTATCATACTACTATTAGAACACACAATTATCTGAATGATAAGTCAGACTCTCTGTCTTCTATAATAGAAAGTACAGACTATGTTTCCCCCCCTCCCCTTTGTATACTCAATGATAACAAACAATAACCAAAACTAAGTCCCTTTCCCTTGAGTTAATTCCAACTCACAATGACCCCATAAGGTAAAGTAGAACTGCTCTCAGGTTATAATCTTTAGAGACACAGATTGCCACATCTTTTACTTATGGTTAGCAGTGGAGTTCTTATTCACTGTGTTACCAGGGTTCCTCTTAGCAAACAGAAGAATTTGGTAAAGATTTACTGAATAATGACATAGACAATGTCTTCATGATACACTGTGATTTACTGATACCCTATATTCAGATTCATACTTTACACATGATACACCACTGGTTTTTGTTTAATTAAAAAACAAAACAAAATTTAAAAAAACCAATTTGTGAGTGCCACTGTTCTGTATACACAACAGAGTAACTGGTAAGAGAATTTTAACTTAAAGACATACAATTTTTTAAAAAATGACAAGATGATAAAATGAAAACAAAGTGAAGGACAGGCAGTCTGTTGCTCGACCAAATCTCTTAACTTTCCTTGCCTTTTCATCTGTAAAATGAAGATACTGGATTTGATCATCTCTTTCTAAATCTCCTATAATATCTGATCCAGGCGATATGTGGTATAAAAAGCTTATAAAAGTCAAGGAGCAGTGAAATATTTCAATAACAAATAGTTTCCATCTTTTCAAAAATATTTAATAGCATTTCTGAAATCTGAGAGCTTTAAACCTACCTCGGTATTCACGATTTCTGCCATACTCCATGGCTGGCAAGGAATTCTCACATTAGAATTTTGCTTTCTTTTATGGTGACATGCTAAAACTAGGACAATGTACTAAAGAAACTTATATTAGTACCATCGTTATCCTAAAGGCAAATTATTATACTTATATACACACACAAACATCTATCATTGAACAACCTTCTTCAAGCTATCTTCCAAATACAGATCAGAAGGTGGGAAAGATGATATGTAGAAGGCAGAGAAAAACTAAGGTAAAAGGCAGACAATTAATATCACAGAAGGAATGGTTTAAAGCATATTTAATACCATGGACATACTTCAAACCTATAAAAATACACTGGGTAAAAAAAACAAACAAACTCATTTTAAATTTACTTGTTGGGTTTTGTAGCTTTGCAGAACGTGCCATGGCAAGATCAAAGTGAGCCGGGTCTGCGTTCTCACACAAATTGGTGATTCGACACAGGCAGTCAGCAGCAAAGACCCGAGTGGCCCAGCGAGGTGCCACAAAGGGCTTGGATTTATCTTCTTCCCCTAGTGTGGTAAACATGGTATCATCATCCATCTCATCTTTCTTTTCTGATTCCTCATCTTTTCCACTACTTAAGAGAGTTGCAGTACTCATATCTGTAACCAAAAGATAAGTATATCATAACAATAGCACATTTAGCAAAAGAGTGTGTTAGAAATAACATTAATAATAAAAGAGTGCTGATTTTAAAAAGACTAAATTCTTACTTTCTGGTAAACAACAGAGTTGTCAAGTTTATTGTATTTTTAAACAATCAAATGCCTAATAAAGGATAAGAAAAAACGCTATTTCTTGTAGTAGTTTTGCTTATTATATTGAACCACAGAATAACTTGGGATTTTATATATAAAAATTTAGCGTCAATTTAGCTATTTTTGAAAAAATACATAGGAAGCTCATTAGTTTGAGATACAATTTAACCTTTATCTTTTTTTAACAGCGATTACAGATTAGAAATATTAGTATATTTAAACGTAAACTCAAATTTACATACACACACACATATTATCTGAAATAAAATCATTTTCATTATTTAAAAACATATTTACTATATTAAATACATACCACTAGAAGCTGCCAGAACATCTTTACAAAGCATTAGCCAATGGGACAGTTTTTCTATTGCCAGTGAAGAAAGCATATGCCCCAAAGTGTCATGAATATCAGAACATAATTTTCTGTCTGTCTCCCGGTCCAGCATTCCAAACAGAAGTCCTTCAAGACCAGTTTCTGTTATATTAACACCTTGGTGTCGGCAGTGGATGTCACTTCGAGAACTAACCCCAGGTGCAAAAGGACTGACATCTGAAAAGTAAATTTTACATATGAAAATGCGTAAGAATTTGTTGTATACTATAGATAACTATTATTATAAAACCATGCCAATTTACAAAAGAGCAAAACCAAATAGCTATATCTATATTTTGTTGTTGTTGTGTGCTATGGAGTCGGTTCCGACTCATAGCGACCCTGTACAGGGTTTCCAAGGCTGTAAATATTTACGGGAGCAGAAAGCTTCATCTTTCTCCCACGGAGCAGCTGGTAGTTTCGAATTGCTGACCTTGCGATTCGCAGTCCAATTTGTAACCACTCCGCTACCAGAGCTCCATATATATAAAATTTGACATGGTCAAATTTTACATGTCTTTAACACTTAATCTGACAATAAAGGTAAGACACTGATGTTTAAGAATAATTATTTTGAGTTATTTTAACAACTCTGCACAGAGTGCTCAGTAAGTGTTTATTTATCTAACAAAATAAGAGCAGCAAAGAAGATGTTAATGTTGTTAAGTGCCATCGAGTTTGTTCTGACTCTAACTACCCTGTATAAGGTTTTCTGAGGAGGAGCTGGTCAGTTTGAACTGCCACAGACTTATAGTTAGCAGTCCAATGATTACCATACAGAAATCCTGGTGTGGACCTGTGGGTTAATGTACCAGACTGCAATGTCAGTCTGAACCGTAAAGTCAACAGTTCAGGCTCACTAGCTGCTCCTCGAAAACCCTATACAGGGTCAGTATGAGTTGGAATTGACTCCACAGCACTTAACAACAACAACAATACCAGTAAAGAAACATACTTCTAACAATTCTTTTTTTGTTTTGTTTTTTTCTGCCTTAAATTTTACTTCTAACAATTCTTACTCAAGATACATTCACATGTGACAGACAGAACTGTCCTTCACAGGATTTTCAGTGGCTGATATTTTGGAAGTAGATCACCAGGTTCTTATTCTTAGGCACCTTTTGGTTAGCAGCCAAATGCATTCACCACTTATGCTACTACCTAGGGACTCCAACTATAAGTGGATTAGTATGCTAAAAGTTCATTTACATTTTTCAAAAAACCTTTCCAAGATTCAGCAAAGAGTGGCAAGATAAAAGAGCAACATACAAAAATCAGTTGGATTCTTCTATACCAACAATGACAGTGCGGAAAAGGACATTAGGAAAGCAGTAACATTTATAATAGCCACCCAAAGAATTAAATATCTAGGAATAAATGTAACCAGACAGACAAAGGACTTATACAAAGAAAATTACAAAACACTAATACAAGAAACCAAAAGAGACTTACAAAAATGGAAGAATGTACCATGCTCCTGGATAGGAAGATTTAACATTGTGAAAATGTCAATACTGACCAAAGCAATTTACATATTTAATACGATCCCAATTCAGATTCCAACGACATTCTTCAAAGAAGTGGAAAAAACAATTACAAACTTTATGTGGAAAGGAAAGAGACCCAGAGTAAGCAATGCACTGCTTAAGATGAAGAATAAGGTTGGAAACCTCTCACTCCCCGATTTCAAAATTTATTACACGGCTACAGTGGTCAAAACAGCTTGGTACTGCTACAATGAAAGATACATTGATCAATGGAACAGAATCGAGAATCCAAAAATTAACCCATCCACATACAACCAACTGATTTTTGACAAAGTACCTAAATATATTGCATGGGGAGGGGATAGTCTCTTCAACAGAGGGTGCTGGCAGAACCGAAAAGTGATATGCAAAAGACTGAAACAAGACCTTTACCTCATGCCTTATACATGCCATGCCACTCAGCATGCATGAAAGACCTAAACGTGAACCCCAAAATTATGAAGGCCATCAATGAAAAAACAGGAACAAATGTGAGGGCACTAATTCAGGGAATATACAGACTACCAAACATTTTGAAAACTACACGAACAAAAGTAGACAAAATAGATGATTGGGACATACTAAAAATCAAAAACTTATGCACATCAAAAGACTTCACCAGAAGAGTAAAAAGGGAACCCATAGAATGGGAAAAAATCTTTTGCAACGACACATCAGACAAAGGATTCATTTCTAAAATATGTAGGAAACTATAACAACTCTACAAGAAAAGGCAAATAACCCAATTAAAAAATGGACACAGGACATGAACAGACACTTCACCAAGGAGGACATCCAGGCAGCCAACAAACAAAAGAAGAAATGTTCACCATCACTAGCCATTTGTTGTTTGCTGTTGTTAAGTGCCGTCGAGTTGATTCCAACTCATAGAGACCCTGTATAGTCATTTGTTGTTAAGTGCCGTTGAGTCTATCCCGACCCACAGCAACCCTGTATAGGGTTTCCAAGGAGCAGCTGGTGAGCTTGAACCACCAACCTTGCAGTTCAAACGACTCTGCAGTCTGATGCATTACCCACAGCGCCATACCAGGACTCCGTATAGTCATTAGAGATGCAAAACAAAACAACAATCAGATATCATCTCACATCAACAATTACAGCAAAGATCAAAAAAGTAGAGGGCAATTAATGCTAGCGAGGATGTGGAGAGACTAGGATGCTCCTGCATTGCTGGTGGGACTGCAAAATGGTCCAATCTCTCTGAAAAGCAATATGGCGCTTCCTCAGATGGTTGCAAATAAAAATACCTTATGATCCTTCAATCCCTCTACTTGGTATTTCCCCACAAGAAACATGAGTCATAACAAGAGTAGATATATGCACACCAATGTTCAAAGCAGCACTATTTACAGTAGCAAAAAGACGGAGACAGCCTAAGTGCCCATCAACTGAAGAATGGATAAACAAACTGTGGTACATACACACAATAGAATATTATGTTACCTTATAACAAGGAACCTGTAAGCCACAACATAATATGGATGAACCTTGAGGACATTATGTTGAGTGAAATTAGTCAGTCACAAAAGGAGAAATGCTGCATAAGACCACTATCATAAAAGCTAAGAAAAAGAACCCATACTAAAGTGTGTGTGTGTGGGGTGTTCTTTGCTGGTTACGGGGCTTACGAAAGGAGATGGGGATAGGTCTCTTGTGATACAATAGTGAATAACTATTATCAGGGCTGACTGTGAGGGTTGGAAATGTAAAGGTAGACGTTTTGTAGCAAAAGGAGGGGAGTGGTTGACTTTGCAGTACAGGAGCGGAGGTCCCTGGGACCATCAAGGAAAAAGAGCAGAGAACGGGCCCTACACAGAGAATCAGTGACACCAGAGATGGAGGCAGAGACGATGACGTAGAGAGATGGAGCGGCTGGGGACTTAAGACCCAGAGAGAGAGAGGGGCTGTGTGCTGACGATGGGGGGGGGGGGTGGGTGGGCAGCAGGCTTGCAGGGATTACCCTTTCATTGGTTGGTGATGCATGGAGGGGACTGTAACCATGGCAATGAAACAATATACAACAGAATGAATGTAATGTTCTCCCATGTAAACTATTACATAATTCACAATAAAACATTTAAAAAAAACAAAAATCCTTTGCAAGCATAATACAATTAAAGTAGTAGTATGTGGTACTGGAGGATAAGCACTGGTCTGCTTAAACGCAACAATGGCAGTTCAAACTCAGCAGCCATTCCTTGGAAACCCTATACAGGGTTGCTATGAGTTTGAACTAACTCGACACTAATGACAACATTATGAAATAGTAGTCACATTTATTACTCTTTTCAAAAATCTTTTTCTAAGTAACAGATGTAGAACTGGCAGACTTGAGAATGCATACTACTAGGCTCTTCAGTCTAGAGGTCTCTGAACCCTGAAGGGAGTAGTACAAAGACTGCAAAGTAGCTCTTTTAGTTGGGTTGCTACAAAGTCAGAATAAGCAGGAGTTTGCAGGAAATAGTCCTAGAGGGAAATTCAAAGACAGTAGGAAAAATAGGAAGTAAAAGTTTCAAGGACAGAAGATACTACTAAACGATTAAGCATAGCAGTTTTTTCCCCTTATTTAACAGTAGTTGAGTTGTTAATGAACATTTTCCCAATCAGAAATGATATTTCTATACTTAAATTTTAATTAATGTAGCAAACCACTGAATTTGTTGTTGGGAAAGGTCCTTGGTTTCCTTCCAGCATCTGTAGGTCCAGCATTCCTTACAGATCTCTGTGTCTTGGCATCAATCTTATCCTGGATCTAGGAGCTACAAAGGACACACTCTATTCCTGGCTCTTCTTTTTTGGTGGTTGTACGTTCCTCTCTTTCAACTCATTCTCTCTTTTTATGTATCTCAAGAGAGACTGACTCAAGATACAACCTAATCCTGTAAATAGTATCCAACCTTATTAACATCAGCTCCTGAGACTATGTGGATGAAGAGAGTTCTCCAGACTGACCTTTAGACTACAGATTTGGGACTTGCTAGCCTCCACAATTGAGGATTTACAACACATAGAATAATTACATCAGATCAGAGCTGAACACATCAGATAACATGGGGGTGTTGAATGCATCAAGTGAGATCGCATCATGGATCTGATAACTCCCATCTTTTAAGCCACTGAGAATCCTGGCCCAGCCAAGGTGACACAAAACCTTATCAGAGTACACCTCTTATTAACAGGGCACGTCTATGCATTTCCTTAAATCATACATAATCTCTAAATAAAGACAATTAGGAATTCATATTTGGGCCTAACATGTACAACTGAAAATCTCATCATGTTGGTGTTGCTGTTGTTAAGTGCTGTCGAGTCAATTCTGACTCATAGTGACACTGTATAGAGCTTCCAAGGAGAGACTGGTGGCTTTGAACCACCAATCTTACAGTTAGCAGTTGACTGCTAATCCTATGGCGCCATATCAGGACTTCATTATGTTATCTGAAAATTCTTCCAAGTCTGAATTCCAACCTGGGACAAAATTGCTTTTCATCTATGAATCTAGAAGATAAGTGATCTGCTTCCAAATGCAATGGTGGAACAAGGAAAAGGTAGATATTTCCATTACAAATGGGAACAATTAGAGGGACAGAAGGGATAACTGACACCAAGCAAGTTACAAATTCAGCAGAACAATTTACATTAGCTCTTAAGGCTTGAGGAGTTTTGGTGTGGTGCTGCAGGATAAGCACTAGACTGCTAACCACAAAGTTCGTGGTTTAAACCTACAAGCCACTCCTTGGAAACCCTACACAGGGTTGCTATGAGTCAGAACTGACTCAACAGCACCTAAGAACAACTTAAGGGTTGAAAAGAATCTTCTGTTCTTAGAGACGTTAGCAATGGCCCTACCCTTTACATTGTAGGTTTTGACAAGTCACCCTGGATTCTGGATAGAGGCCCCATCCTCCTAATCTGTCTGGGTGATACTCCACCTTTTCAGCTCTGGCAGGCCCCATTCTTCTGCCCCTTGGGTAGAAACAAAATCTTAATGGCAGCCCTACACTCCAGAACTAAGTTAGTGAAAAAGGTCTCACTCTTTCAAACTTAGGAAACTGTGGTCCCATGTTGAGAAACTCCAAAGATCATGGCCCTACCTGTGCTCCTTGTCTCTTCAGCGTCCGCGTCCTGGTCCCTAGAAGAGGATAGCCTGGCCTTTGCTTTGTTGAATAAATGTTATAAAGTTCTTTAGATGTATTGATAAGTACCCAGAGGTACCCCACTCCACAAGAAAGCCTTCTGCATGAAGGCACTCAGCTTTCTTGTTCCATGGGTCAGCTTCAGTGTTGTTTTGGGTCTGTCTCTAGGTTCCGCTGTTGCAGTATCTCTATCACTACTTCTCACTATCTGTGATGTCTCTGGTTTTACAGCTCGCTTGATTTCCATCTGAGTCCCTCATCAGAATTGCCTTTGATATCCACAATTCCATCAAAAGTCTCTTCTAGGCAATCTAGACTCAATACTAGACAGCTTAGCATTCTTCCAGCCTTGGCTCATTATTCAATTTCAAAAACACTTCTGCATTTTGGGTATCTTTTACAGCATCACTCCACTCCCGGTACCAAACTCTGTCTTAGTTATTAGCGTAGTGGTTACAAATTGGGCTGCGAACCGCAAGGTCAGCAGTTCGAAACTACCAGCTGCTCCGAGGAAGAAAGATGAGGCTTTCTGCTCCTGTAAAGATTTACAACCTCGGAAACCCTGTACAGGGTCACTATGAGTCGAAACCGACTCCACGGCACATAACAACAACAACATAAAAGAAATGCCACAAGTGGATGGCATTAACAAATAGTTATGGAGGCTAAAGTCTAAATTCAAAGTGGCTGCTCTGTGGGGAAAGGTCCTCTGTCCCCTTCTAGTTTCTGTAGGCCTAGCATTCCTTAGAGATCTTTATGTGTCTTGGCATAAATCTTTCTCTGGATCAGTGAACTTACCAGTGCAGGAAACCTAGGTAAAAAGGACACACTCCATTCTAGGCTCTTCTTTATTCTCTCTGCTCACTTCTCCCTCCTTTTATATCTCAAAAGAGAATGACTCAAGATACAACCTAATCCTGTACATTGCATCTAACCTCATTAACACCATGTTTGTCTTGTTGTTGTGTGCTAATGAGTCGATGCCATCTCATAAGAATATGTATAGGGTTTCCAAGACTTTTTAAATCTTTGCAGGACCATAAAGCTTCATGTTTCTCCCGTAGAGTGGCTGGTGAGTATGAACCACCAACCTTGTGGTTTACAGTCCAGTGCTTATCACACGACAGCCACTGCACTCCTCCATTACACGATAAAAGTGAGGATTTATAACACAAGATAATTACATCAGCACTGTCTTTTCTGATCACATCATGGGATTGATCGCATAGTACATCTCATCATGGAGGTGATAACTACATCCCAATTGCTAAACTACTGAAAATCCTGGCCCACCCAAGTTGACACAAAACCTTAACTATCACATAAGGTAAAGCACAGCTTTAAAATTGTGGGGACATACTGCCAAAGAGCCCTCCACAAATCTTGTTTCACTTTCATTTTCACCAGCAGAAGAAATTGCTCTTTTATTCATATCCCCCCAACACTGATGGTGACCACTATTTCAAATCTGGTGCTACATTCTATTGTGGTGAGTAGCAAATGGGATCTTAAAGCTAGTGAGTGGTCATCAAAGATGAAAACTAGTTGTCTTTCCCCATATAGATGAAAGAAAGGAAGAGAAAATCAAAGGTTCAACAAAACAGTTAGTCCAAAGGACTAATGGACCACAAGAACCACAGCCTCCCCTACTCTGAGACCAGAACCATATGGTACCCAGCTACCACTACTGACCACTATGCTTAGGAACATAGCAGTACCTTGACAGAAGGGTAGAAAAATGTAGTGCAAAGTCAAAACTCCTAGAAAAGAACAGAATTATTGGTCTGATAAAACCTGAGACTGTGACCTTTAGAAACCTTTCAAACCTGGAAGGGAACTCATCCCCAAGGCTCAGTTTTCCATCAAACCATAGATAGGTCTACACAGTGAACAGTAACACTGGGTGAGGAACATAATCATCCGAGCCATTTAACCATACAAAAACAGAAAGGCAGCATTTGCTCCAAAATGAAGCCCAGAAGGCAGAAAGGGGCAGGAAAGAAGGATAAATGAACATGGGGGGTCAGGGAGGAGTGGATAGGAAACTGTTACAGTGAGGGAATTGCAACTATTATGAAATGGCATAGCAACTAATTATTGATTATGGCACTTCCAGTCATACTGTTGTATCTGTGATGCACTGTAAATTCTAGCCTCTATGCCTGTGATTAGAGAACCATTTTGATGAGATGTCACTGAAGCAGGATTAAGGTGGTATTGCAGGATAAGCACCTGACCATAAAGTTGGTGTGAACCACAAGGTCAGTGGTTCAAACTCACCAGCCACTCCTTGGAAATCCTACACAAGGTCGCTATGAGTTGGAATCAACTTGACAGCACTTAACAAGAATTAAGAATGCCACCACGTTACTAGGGTATGTGAATCAAGCCACTACCCTTTGATTTTCTTAGTGGCAGGGCCTGAGTCAAATATATAGGACTGCATCGGCAAAGTTCGTTCTCTTACTCTGAATCTTGCCTAGGGTTCATAACATCTGACCTTCACTTCATGGGATTTACAACATATCATCTGATCTGATTTACCAACTCCCACAACCTCGTGTGTGAAAAGCCTGCCACATAACCTGCAGATTTGGGTTCCTCTTTTACTATTATTGAGTTCTTTGAGACTTTGCAGCTAACTGCAGAACCCTGGGACATGAGGGAGGAGAGGAGTGGTGATTGAGACCATAGATTACGGAGTTGGGAAAAAAAAAATGTATGATATCTTTAACTTCATAGAGACCAACCTTGTGCTGAAACAAAATGCATACACATTCTTGAACGTAAAAGGAATTTGCTATTGTAAACGTTCACCCAAACTACAGAAAAAGCAGGAATAAATAAAACAATAGAGACAAATAATGAAACTTACTAGAACCGCTGCTCTCTTTGTCCCCTGCATTTTTTGCTAGGCTCATGGCATATTCACAAACTTCAGCTGCTTCTCTTTGTGCAAGTTGCCGGAGACATGCTACAGCTGCCCGTCGAAGTAGCAAGTGAGAACTACATAAGTGAACCTGTGAACAATAACAATTTTAGATAAAAATTATTTTAAGCCTGTAATTCTTTAGTGTCACTGGCTGATGAATATACACTAATACTTATGAAGATGCTTTTCATTGAACAACTTCACTTGTTTTTAAGATAGAGCCAAATGATGGTTTTTGGAAAAATATTATTATTAATAGAAAAAATAAATAATATTTTAGTAGCCTAAACAGTTGCCCAAAGATTTGGCACTAAAGCTCATATTATATATACTTAGATGAAAATTCAGAAGGATCTTTTGCACATCTTATTTTACACGTTTCTTATTAAGCTTTGTAATTGAAATTCTAATTTTTAGCTGCAGTAAATGAAAAGTTAGGGGGCAGATTGCTGCTATGTGTAGGTATAATGACTACACTAAGAATTTAAAGCAAAGAAGGATATTTATGAAACACAGAAAACAAAAACAAGCGAACATTAACACTCCTGAGAAGAACCACAAAATGGGGCTTTGGTATGAAATTTGTATTTCTCAAAAGTCTCTGAAAACATCATACAAGCATAAAGCATGAGGCTATACAAAGTAACAGTTAAGGGCTCAGGAACCAGACTACTTGAGCTTGAATTCTTGAGCTTGAACATCTCTGTGTGATCTTAGACAAGTTACTTCAACTCTCTGCATCTTGATTTTATATGTTGTTGTTAGGTGCTATCTAGTTGATACCAACACATAGTGTTCCTATGCACAACAGAATGAAACAATTTCCAGTTCTGCACCACTCTCACAATCATCACTACATTTGTGCCCATCGCTGTTGCCATTTCATTGAATATCTTCCTCTTTTACTCTGATCCTCTATTTTACCAAACATGAAATCCTCCTCCAGGGACTGGTCCCTCCTGACAATATGTCCGAGATACCAGAGACAAAGTCTGGCCATCCTGGCTTCCAAGGAGCATTCTGGATGAACTTCTCCAAACAGACAGGTTTGTTCTTTTGGCAGTCCATGGCACATTTAATAAGTCTCCTCCAACATCATAGCTCAAATGCATCAATTCTTCTATGGCGTTCTCCGCATGGTACAGTGACTCCGCATATTCCTGCCATCTTCTTTTGATGCTTTCTGTATCATTCAATATTTTGCCCAGAGTCCTTAAATATTGCAATTCAAGGCCTGAATTTTTTCTTCACTTCCCTCACCTTGATTATGCTGAGTGTATTCTTTCCTTTTGGTTTTCTAACTCCATGTCTTTAAAATTTTCATTATAATGCTTGTCTCTGTCTTCTCGAGTCACCTTTTTAAATTTTCCATTCAACTCTTTTACACGCTCATTTCTTCCATTTACTTTAGCATCTCTGTGTTGGA